CCTTGCCCAGCTCCACAGATCAGCTGAGTGTCTTGGAGGCTTGGAAAAGCAGGTGTAATGTCATGGAAACAAAAAACTGTTCTTTTTTTTTTTACAGCAAGAAACTGCACAGTCGAATTTCAAGCCCTGGGCTGAGGCGCTGCCATGGCAATGCATTACACTTGCAAAAAGAGGCCTTTAAGTGGACAGAAAATCAATTTTCCTACGCTTTATTCTCAGCTGCAGCTGAAGATATCTTGCTGCTATTAAAAGACATTCCCATTTCTCCAGACAGACACTGAAAATAGAGAAACCAACCCCCAAATTGAAGTTTGGCAAGTGAAAAGACGGGCGGGCAGACCGAACTCCTGCCGCTGCCACTTCATGGCCCACCTGCTACATGCACCGGTATGACAACAGCGAGGAGAGGATGGGCACGAGAGGCAGGGACAGCATTCACAGGACATCCACAAGGACAATCACTCGCTTTGCACTTGCTGAGGTGTTTGTGGTCTGAGCCACCGGCTGCTTTGGAAGCAGGAATCTCCTTACGCATCTGTCCTGCACGATATGGAAAGGAACTGGGAAGTGTTGAAGACATCGGCTCATGCAGCCCTATGTGGCTACCAGCAAAAGCTTTAACAGCTCTGACAATCAGGAAATTACCGTGGGGTGTGTGTTGAGAGGAAAAGAATTCATTCCTGGGCTAAAAGATGTCATCAGCTGAGAGCAGGGAGCGCGACCATACCGCTCTCACTAAGAACAGAGACGGTCTGAGGCACTGGTTTGTGTATTTCTCTTTTTAAAGGTTTAACTTCCCACAAGTGATGAAAACATTAGCAGATCTGGCTGGGAAGAACAGTGGCAAGAATGAAAACTGCGGATTGTTACAGAGACACCAATAAGCCATCTGCAACCACACTGCACGTGGGACAAACAGAACAGGGAGGAGAGGCGAAGGAAAGTTAAAAATAAAAAAATGTGCTATATATTGCTATGACACCTTCACAGCTGAAGATGATGACCAAGAGTTTCCTAAAAGCTAGATTTTAGTAAGGCTGAAACGTTTGTGTCCTCTCTTGGTGAAGCAAGATGTTGTCAGTCGCTCAGGGCAAACGCTGCACAGCATCCAACACCTACAAAGACTCCTCGCAGCCCTACAGGTCAGTAGTGCAGGCATATATAGCCCAAACGCAGCTCTCCTACTTTAAATAAGGGCCGAACAGGAAATTCAACAGATTCAGTGTGCTTATGACATCCACCACGGCATGGCCAAGTCCCACAAGAGATGATTTGCATGGAGCTGTGCCAGCTGCAGACCCGACCGAGCACGTGGCCTTGGCACCAGGACAAACGCTCCTCGGAAAGCCTCCGGTCAACAGGGGTCAGAGCAAGCAGAATGACAGGAAACTAAACCTTGTACCTGATCTTGAAAACTCTGTGCCGTTTCCATCCCAGGTCTAAATATAACCCAGGAAAGCACAGCAAGGACAGAGCGGCCCTTGAATGAGCAGTGAGGGCCATGCGGGCTGGCAGAGCTGAGCAGCGGGAGGACAGTCTGAAAATCCTAAGAGGCACAGCAGAGCCATCAGGACGGCTGCTCAGGCTCAAATACGAGACAGGAAAGCACAAAATGGACGTAGAAGATGCCAGGTTTAAAACCAAAACAAGCGAAGGGAGATGCTCCTTCACCGGCACGCTGAGCTGAGCAAATAAATCCTTACTCAGCACCTCTGAGCCTGGGCTGGGGTTTTCTTGTCTAGGGGCACCACTGATCCTCAGCCACTCTGCTCCTAGGGCAGAGCTCGGAGGAACAGCAGGCTGCAGAGCAGCTTCAAACACGCCTCTCCTCCAGAGAGGAAAGGCACCTGGCACGTCTGTCCGCACGGAAAAACCTAACGTGACACAGGACACGGAGCTGAAATTAAAGCCACCGAGATTTTGTTTGAAATCCCGTGTTCCGTGCGCTCCTGTGACACGGAATGACAAAGTGATTGCAAACATCTCCCAGGCAAGCCAGAGAAGTCGAAGCAACAAGGAGCACGAAAAGCAGCTGTGCAAGCAGTCCTTGTCCCCAGGCAGTGCCGCACAGGCTCGTTTGTGCCCCTCTGCCCCGGGTGGTGCTGGCAAAACCCCTCCTGCTCGGCCTGGGTGCTCACATCAGCATCCCCAGCGTGTGCTGCCAGACTGCCACGGGGGAGAGATTTCGGAAAGAAATCAGCAAGAGCACTTCCATTGGTTTTAGTGCCGACAGCAGCCTGGCTCCTGGGGTTTTGAATGGGCTGCCCCTCCTAGTCCGCATCCATCTCATCAGCTGGAGACCTATGTCGGAGCCCAGTAGGACAGCAACGCTCCGTGCTCAGACAGAAGTGGTTTTGGGGCTCTGCTGATGGCCCCGAGCAGCTGCAGCCACAGGCAGCAGCTTTCAGTTCCTCCCCGCTCCCCCCGGCAGCCCTGAACCCCTCCATTCATCACAGCTTTTGGGGTCAGACCTCGCCTCCCTGCAGCCATGGGACGCCCTGCCCAAACAGGCTCTTTTCCTAAAAAGTGCTTGCCGTAAGAAGTGGCTGCCCACTCTCAGTTTTCTGAAGAACAGCTTAGGGACTTACAAATCACATTTCCCTGCGTTTCAGTTGAAACATCTTGGGGCCACGCAGCACCTCAGAAATATCACACCCACGGGAATATTTAAGGGCACCCCAAAACAGTCAGCTTCAGTAAGCCTTGGGATTTTCAGTTGGGGAAGAAAAGGTGTCAGCAGTGATTTTACCTGAATTTCTACACACTGGCCTCAAAGCACGTACAGCGAGGGCTGGATTGTTCAGCCCAGAGGGTACAAAGAAAAGCCAGCAGGGCCGGGTTTGAAAGGTTGGGGCGAGCACCTCCAACCCCTTCGCTCCCTGCAGCCCTGTGGCAGCATCTGCCCCAGGAAATGGCAGCACAGAAGCTGCTGGTGCAGATTCTGCACCCAAAACCCACCCCCGGGCACACCCGAATGCCCCCAAACCTGCAGGCAGGTGGAAGAGCCACGACCACAGCCTGGCTGCTCACACACCGTGTAGTGGGGGGCAATCAGCCTCGGGTGGCTCACAGCCCGTTACGAAAATCCACGGGTCACCCCAAATCTGGTACTGAGGGACAGCCCGAGCGGAGGATACGCCAACCAAAATAAAGGAAAAGGCACTTTTTTGGCTTTGCACTTGCAGATTGCTTGCTAAAACTGTATAATGTGACACTCGGCGACTGCTTCCTCGTGAGTCACGAGCAGCAGCAGGAACTGGAGGAATTCACAAAAGCTGCTATTTCAACCGAATCTTTGACAGGAAGAAACAGAGTGACATAACCCAAACAAAGATCTTTCTTGCTTTTTTTTTTTTTGCAAGTGCTAAAGGCTTTGCGGCAGCAAAGCCCTTTCTGAAGCCAGCGCCCTGAGCAGCCCGCGAGTGTTAATTACGGCAGTGTTAATTACGGCAGCTGAGAGCCACGGCCAGAGCACAGCTCCTGCAGCACAAGCCGGTGACGCCCTCCAACTGCGAGCTGGCCTTCTGTGTGTCAGGACACGTGAGACTTTCCTCTGTACTAAAAGCTGAATTTCAGGTGTGGAACAGAGTTGTGTTTCTATTTCCCCACGTACAGACCATCGGCAGTGACCACAACAAGTGCAGGGGTTTAATTACGGCAGGTATTCTTGGTCACTCTCCTATTTAAGGAGTTTCTGGTGAAACCCTATTTTAACCTCACTAAAATATTCTATTTTCAGTAAATGAAAGTGAGACAAACTTGGTACTAAACGGTAATCTGGTTGAAAAAAAATTGGAGCCACGAGGGCTCCACCAGAGTGTGTTGCACACCAACACCCAACAAGCTGGTAACCGGCTAACGGAGCAGGGCCATAATTGTGCCGTTTGCTCCCTCCTTTTCCCTTAACATTCATTTTAACATCTGATCTTTTTTTCCTTTTTAACACAGCAACCACAGGTTGTGCTTTGCTGCAGAGCCCTGTGATCACAGCGATCCCCCAGGAGGTGCCAGCTGCAGAAGCCACACAAGATCCTTCTCCAAGATGCCTCTGATTAGAGAGCGTACACCAGGAACATCCAACACGTCAGGAATTACAGGAAAATCCCATTTTGGCAGCTGTTTCTGTTGTTAGAAGACACGAAAGCCTGAGCAGATCTATACTGGAACAAAGTGGATTTTATTTATTTGTACCAGCTCGCAAAGCCAAGTTTGTGCACTGCTCCTGTTGCACTCAAGCCCGCTGAAGTTTTGCAGCCGGCCACAGAAACCAGACTAAGTCACACACATCTACTTCCAGGCACCGTAAGCACAGACTAAGTCAGTAAATTTGAGCTTAACAACCCCAGACGTACAAATGAGGTGCGCCCAGAGACCGAACACTGCGTTACTGTACTCCTTGCTCATGCAGCGCCTTACAACAAAGGACTTGCAAGTTGCCCTCGGTGAAAAGGTGATAAAAGCATCTGGAATCGAGGCATTTACACTTCAAGTTTCAAGATGATTTGAAAGGACACGACACCAAAGAGTCTTGGCCGTAGCCTTTACGATTACTGTACTGTATCCAAAAAGGCTTTGCTTTTATTGTCAGACTCAGAAGACGGCAGCTGAGGAGCTGTTTCGCTTCAAGGCCAAAGAAAAGCTATCTCTGTCTCACCGCTGCTCGAGGAATCCCAGCCAAAAAGCACCCACTTCTTCCCCTAAAGTGCAAATCTGCAGCAGCTGCCTGCTGAAGCAGCTTCATCTTACCTTCGAGTGGAATGGCATAAAGCTGCTCCATGAGCATGATTTCTTCTTCTTGAAATCTGCAATCAATGCTCCTGGCTTCCTCCAGCCTTCCGCTTATGCACAGATGCACAGACAATAATGCATGAGGGTTGTTTCAAATTTTTTCCTCTGTGCTCCTGATTGGCTCAGCGCAATGCCCATGTGGGTCGACAATGCAAGGTTTCTATCCTTTTTCAAATCAAAGTGTCAGTTTTGCTGCTGTCAGAGCACTTTATTTTTGTACATATAAGGAAGTGGCTGTTGATGTTATCTGAACGCGCTTCCTGTTTTATATGTATATGAGCAAAAATAATGTCACGTTAAGCTAAGCTGCAGTTTCGGAGAGCTCAAGCCAAAGCCTCCAAGCAAAACACGGTAATGGGAGCACATCTCATCTGCTCGCTGTCTACCCCAGTTTGCATCCACTTCGCTGCCTCTCCTCGGCAATCTGCATTCTCCCACCGAGAGCTCTCCTCGTGAGCTGGCCACGGAGCTGCACGCTGAGCATCGCTGCCTCCACGGCTTCTCGGCGGGTTCGGATCACAAAGGCTCGCCTGAGTTGACATCTGTACCTCAAATACTGCACAGGTGAAAAAGGAGCCAGTGCCACGAGAAACTCTGCCTGAATTTGGGCCATCCTTAATTCAAGGGGACTGTTTTTTAACCAGGAAGGAGTCTTCTGAGTGTCTGATGTACGGCACTCAGTGCAGGAAGTGGCGCTGTAGGAGAGCTGCGTTCCAGAGCTGATGCTGCAGAGCACAACACCAAAGGAATCCTTCTAACGGGAATTTCATGTCTTTCTGCTTATTTTAAGGCAGAGCAAATCAATGTGCAACTTCAAGCTCGGTTCCATCCAGAAATCCTTCTACTCCCGTGGAAGAGAAGAGCAGCAAAGCACACGGAGGCACCTCCGAGGACCGCTGCCAGCGCCACCGCAGCTTACCCCTGTCGCTGCCAGGAGGCACTGCCACTTGCACGCTCCTTCACTTCCACTTTCGCTCGGTGCTGGCTGCAGAACACCCCCCAGAGACAAAAAAACTACAGCTGGGAGCGAGCTGAGGCTGTTTGCACTTTCTACTTTCATTATATTTTTCACAGCAACTTCTGGGATATGAAATGCAAGCTACTTTTATAGGTAACAGCACAACGAAACTGTGGGTTCTGCTGAAGGAAACCAAAAGAATCCTTCCAGAGGCATGCAGTAAGTAAATGAAGTGCTAAAACTCGAAGAAACTGTTGTTCCCCATGGAGCTCATGGCACAGCTCCTTTCTGCCCTGTCTCCAGGAGTGGCAGCTCCCTGCAGCACAGCTGCTCTGCGCCCTGAGAACCTGCAACTGGCACGAGCAGGGGTTCTGCTCGGTGCAAGCTCACTGCCTCTGAAGGAACAATAACGAGGAGTTGGAGCGTGTGAATGATGAAAGATGCTGTACAAGTATCAGAATTTAAAAATATTCTGTGCAAAGATTTTTTTGAACCATTTCCCGCTGTAGTGCCTTATTCTATCTCATTACGCAGATTTGGATCGTTTCATTTCGGTGCAAAGCTACGTCACGGGCAAGAATCGGAGCTGGGCAGATACAGCAGGTGCCTTACGCAGGGACAGAAGACCGACAGCTATCACACCAAAATGAAGTATTGAGACCCAGACCTAGCAAAGTCCCACTTGCTGCACATTTACGCCCTGGCACTGATTGATTTGAATGTCTGAAACCAAGCGAGCTTCACGAGTTTCTCCCGCAGCTGGGGCAGTCGCATCGCCCTGCCGGGCACTCTCCCGTGCCTGGGGGAGCACACGGTCCTGCTACAGCTCTCTGCACCCCTGCAGCAGGAGCAGTGCCTCTTCTCTCCACCCAGCCACTGGTTGGAAACGCAGGAACGTGATTATCTTTGGAACCCCACGAGCTGACAGCTGGGGCTTAAAAGAGATCAACCCCACGAGCACAAGCCTTGTTTCCAAGCCCCCAAAAAAAGTGAATCCAGGTGAATCTGGGCGCCCCGGTCAGCCAGCTGAGCTGCACGATGTTCAGCTCACTGCGGCAGATAAGGGAGCTGCGATTCTGCCCCTGCCTCCCATTCCCGAGTCACAGCTTGGAAGGGAAAACACCACTAGAAACCCAGGAGTTGGAAGCTTGGTGCATTTTCTGTTTTTCTTTTAAAGACATTTTACCTGAAGAAATATCTTTTGCTTTTGACCTTCCTTAAATGTTTCCAAACCCCCTCGTGAAACACGGGCTGACACAGACCTGTAACGCCTACCAGGGGGCTCACGGCTGAGTTGTCAGATACAACTTATTTAGAGAGAACAGCGACGTTTCATGTCAGTGATTTATTCAAATGCACCACATGTGCTTCGCTCTCTCGGTTTTAGTGCTTCCATTTTTATCTCCAAAGAAAACCGATGTTATGGGGGGAAGAGGAAGCAGGAGCGAGCAAGCAGACGTTCCTGCTGCCTGTCCTAAGTTTTCCTGGATACCAAAAGGATAAGCTCAGGGGTGAGAAGTGTCCCCAGGGACCCCACAGGGGCTCAGAGCCTCCAAGCGCATGGGGCCAGCAGGTTCCTGGGGCTCCTCGACGAGGGGCTGCAGTGGACGGCAGCGAGACGAGGAGGAGAAAAGGGAGAATAACAGAGAAAGGAAACAGGCACTGCAAAACAAAAACTCAAGAAATCACCAGCAAAGCAAAAAGCACTCAGGGGAAGCCCCTGGTGTGGTTGCTCACTTCCTACGGCTTATCACTGACACAGCAGCATGAAAAGTCACCGAAAACGGCAAATTTGTCAGTGTGGGTGAATTGGAGCCTGTGCAGAGGATAACGCGTGGCCACACAACACACGTCCACCAGCACCCACCAGCACGGGTTTCAGGGCATCAGATCCTCATTTTCCTGCAAAACTCCATAAAAAGAAAAGGTTGTTCATTCCCTCTCATAATGTAATAGTGAAATGTATTTCCACCTTCAGCGTTACTCCGAACGAGTAAGAAAAAACTCAAACCCTTCAAAAGCCTTTTAAAGAGTAAAGAACTTATTTCTGACTTTGAACGTTCTCTTGTGCAACGCAGGCCAGGAAATCTTATTCTTGCAAGAAGTTTCTGACTTCCTGGTGAGTACAGTTTTTTATTTTTACATCTAGAGAGAAATCTCTAAAAATATTTCATATGCCACGTCACGGTAATACTAAGCACTTCATAAAAAGAAGAACCGCACCGAAACACAGAAACGAGTTAAAAGGAAATTAAACAGCCCGTCTATAAGGGCAAAACACATGCCAGGGGCAAAGGACATCACTTAAATTAACCACTGTAGCCTTCTAAAGAAAATGTTTATCAGACATCAAACATGGCTCAAGATATGATGGAAAGGAATAAGCATAAAACGTTAAGTTAGAAATAAGAGGGAAGACATCGCTTTGTGTGTTCACAGAACGCAAACGTTTTGAACCTGTTTGTGCGTTTCTGACCTCAGAAAGGATACGGTGAAACTGAGAAAGATTCAGCAAAATGAAAGAAGGATGGTTGGAGGGGTCGCACAAGGAGTAAGTGAAAAAACAGCAACAAAAAGAGAATGGCAAAGGCCAAAAGGATCACGGCACACTTCGCTGTGCCTGCGGGGATGCACGGGGAGCTGCTGGAAGACCCCGGCGTGCTGGCACTGCCTCGGCAAGCGGCTGTGCTGCTCAACACAGAAATACTCTGTGATAGTCCTAAGGTGCTCAAGAAAAACCTGAAAAATGCCTCAAAATGAGATGCAGGTCTATGGAACATCCAGCAACCTCCAGCTTCTCCAAAGGGAGCGAAGGCTCCAGGCAGGACGGCCTCCTGTGGTCCGGCACACCCAGACCTGGCTGCGGCTAACCATCAGAAATCCTCCACGCCAGGCACAGGTTGAAATCAGGAAACAGATTTTCTATAGATATTCCTTCAGAGGAGTAAGCAGAGACTGTTCAACAGGGCCAGCTCAGAGCTGAAATCCACTCCTTGGTGGGCCATTCCCCCTTTTTTTTAATTTTTTTTCCTAATAGCTGAATTTTGCCAGTATTGCTGAAGTCCCAAACCAGACACAGAGTTTCAGCATCGTCAGTGCTCGCTGCACAGCAGAGCAGTTCCTGCCCTACCAGCTGTTCTCCTGGCCGTGTATTCCCATCCCACATCAGCCTCACCCTTCCTGCAGTGCTGCCACGGACTGACTCGGTCGTGGTCTGTGCTATTGCAGCACTCTTGCTCCTTCCAGTTTTGTGCTTGTGCCTTTATCTTGTCCTTCCGAAATGTAGTAAATACGCACTTGTATGAGCTGTAATCTTAATTTGGACTTCATCAATTTAGTGAAGATGACCACTGCGTCCTGGCTCTGCCTTCCATGCACTCTCCTGCCTGGCTTCCAGGTGCTGCGGGTGCTGCTGGCAGATGCACCGAGGTTGTCTTGCTCTGGAATAAGCCTCCACACGTTGTTTCCTTTACAAAACTATCCAGATTTTTGGCCCAGTCACAACTGCAGCTTTTAAAAGCAATTCGTGCAGGTTAAGTAAGAGAAATGCAGTGGCTTGTAATGACATTGGGTTTGCTCTAAGATGTGCGGCACATCCTGCTCTGCTGAAAACTGAGAAGTAGAAATCCCAGAAGCACAGAATCAAGTAGTACCAGCTCGTATCACAGCAGCGAGATGTAACAGAAAGCACCCGTCAGAGCCCTCAAATTCTGAGCTGCTGCAGGAGCCCTACCAGCCAGAACATTTATTTTATCCTGTCATCTTCTGCATAGTCCCTGGTGGCTCCCAAGAAAATAAAAAAAGAAAAATCAATTTAATGCTCAAAAAAAAACTAACGTGGTGTATGGTACTAAACAAACACGTCTTGCTGTCCATCATGTTCTTCATGTTCACAGTGGCTTTTGTTATTCAGCATTTGAAAGAAAGCTCGTCCTTTTAATACGGCCAAGTGAGCAAAGCTGACTGCAAAGAAAAGCTGTTTCAGGTCAGCTTTGTTACCATCAGCAGTCAGATAAATCCAGGATTCTTTCCCTCTCGGTAGGCTTAACTCCTTGCTTGTAACAGAAGCAGCAGGAAGGCGCAGTTAATTCAAGTTAAGTCGAGAAGAAGTTGTCATAGACCTGGGCTTTCCAAACGGCACAAAACATGGCAGAGATGTTTTTTTTCTGGAGAAGAAGGCAGCACAAAGAACGTGCAATTGCAGCCGTTTCCAGCAGAGCAGGAAGGTTTCCTCCAGAGCTATCCCTCCAGCCCCACAGCCAGTGCCCAGGGGTTTCGGTTTGGTGTTCTGAGGAATGTGCTGAATCTGGAAGTCAGTATGTTAAGAGAAATTTTAATTTTGCCGGGGAAGCCTCTCGATGCAAAGGGACTCGTGGCTGATTTACATTCTGAAGCATGAAATTTATCTTTGGCAAGTGGCCTCTGAGACCTAAGTATTTCCAGAAACATCGCTTTCTTTTCCCAATGCATCATGCAGAATTCTAAGTAGCCATTTCTTAAACTTATTAGGAACCAAGAAGACGATGGAGGAGGCCGAGCTTCTGTCCAGGGCAAGACCTCAGACAAAGACACCGCCTGTTGCTGCTTTCCAACCCATTCCCCTGCACAGAGGTGCATCACCTTTTGGGGGAACTCACTCCTATTTGTGCACAGCATTTCGATATTTCAAACCAAATATGAGTGGCTCTACATGTCCTAGGGCAGACTTCCCTTTATGCCCTTTATTCCCTTTATGTTTGTTTCACCATCCTAGATGGTGAAACAAACACCCCCCATTAGGGCATCTCTGCATCCCACAAAGGTCGGGCAGCTTCCACCACTGCTGCTCACCCCCATGTAAGACCTGAAACCCAGAGGCAAGAGAAGCAGCCAGCCGAGGTGGGGCACCTCCGTCTGCATCCATCTCAGACCCGTAACGGCTGAAATATGGGATGCACTTGTGGGCAGGAGGCAGGATGCACTGACTCGGAAAGGTTTGGCTACAGACACTGCCAGCCAGCTTATGGGATTTAAACTGGGCTGTACGTACAGGATGACTGTGCTTCAGTTTTCACTCCTGCAGTACCGGGTTAGCACAGGTGAAATCCAGGCTCCACGGAGCTCCCCTGGGTCTGGAAGAGGCTCTACACCCGCAGCCCTAACAATTCATGCACAGAAACGCCACCCCTGGCTCAGCAAACACACACGTTGTTGTTCACAAGTCTCTGCAAGGGAAGCTTAAGGATAAAGCCATCTCCCTTCAAAGCCTGGTCATTGCGTGACACTATGCAGCAAGTTGATTAATAATTAAGAGTTACTCAGACAAAGGAACGCAATGCTCAGAGGAACAGAAGGAAAACACCCAGTACCACCACTGGCCAGAATGACACCTCTAATGCTGGAATTCTTGACCTCCAGTGCACTGCAGCACATGAAAACATGAACTTTTTGCTGGAAGTCAAAATGTCATTTCTAAAAAAAAATCGGTATCAGACAACAAGAAGTTAAAAATTGCATTTTTCTATTTGTCCTGGAACTGTTATTTTCAAATTCTCTGCTTTGAGTTGTGGGGAACTTTTGCTGCACATTTCAGGCTACAAATTCCCTTCCTTCTTCCTCTGGTTCCCAAGGCACAGGGGGTCCTGGCTGCTCAGCCATTTGGTAACAGGGTATGTGAAACTTTTATACAGATGTATACAAATGTAGCTACACAAGCCTTGGGATCTTACTGTAAGACACATTTTCTCTTGCAATTCACATTCCTCTTTCAAATTTTTACATAATATCATCATGTTGGAGGTGTAGACAATGTACCCAAGAAAGCCCTTACTATATTTTGAGAGGTTTTGTTAGAAATGCAAATATTTCAGCCAGACTACCTATAGCTTTCCTTTAAAAGGATGAATTTGTAGTCAAGTTTTACTTCTAAGTTTTTAAATGCTCAAATCCTATCTAACAATTTACTTTCTTGTTGTTGCTTGCACTGTGACTATATGGGAAGCCCCACGCAAGGTCTGGTCCCCACAAGCCTTGCACACATCCCATGGACAGAAGGGTTTGGTGGACCCCACTGCTCTATCGTAAGGCTTCAGTGGCTTTAGGAAATCACTTACACTAGACTATCCTACTATATTGGAAATACATTTTTGATTTTGTTTCATTTCAGCCAGGAAATTCTGTGCATGACTGAGTAGAAAAGGAAAAAGGACAGGATCAGATTGAAGGGAAAGCTGTAACATCAGCAGCTGCATCAAGAGCTCTGCAGGAACACCCAGATGGGAGAGGTGCTGCCAGGGAAGGAGAGAACAAAGAATTTATGATAAATGTAAGTTGCATCCTCATATTTTGATTTTTTTTTATTGATTCAGCACGTGACATCTAAACAGATAAGCAGATTTATGAGCAGAATTTTGAAGGAAGAATGAAAATTCATACAATATTTGTCAAACGAACAGGCATGGGAACTAGAGGAGGGCAAAAGGGGGCAGTTCAAGTTTATTACTAATACATGATGTAATTATTGTAATGCATTGGCTGAGAGCTGTTCGTTTCTGCTGGTCCTGATATCCAACAAGATACATTGCCTCTTCAGAGTGGCAAAGATATCAGGATGAAGAATTCATCAGAGTGAAATGCATGCATTACCTCCACTTGGTACTCCCCTGCAATACCAAATATATCATTTCACGTAAAATCCAGAATCTGGATAGCCTCAAAACATCGCTGAAATTTCCTGTATCATTTAAGGTTGTAAATCATTTAATATTTAATTGAATACCTAAACATCCTTTATTTTATGAGGGAAGAGAGTCCAAAGCAGGACAGCACAGGAGGGCTGAAGCCCAGACCCTATGGGACCCCTTGGTTCCCACAACAGGCCGTAACCTCAGAGCTGCTGTGCTCACTCCTAGCCAGTGCTGCATCCAAACATCACCAAGAGAGGCCAGAAGCAAAAGGTGCAGTCATCTCAGGAAAGGAGGGGGATGGCAGAGAAAACCTGAAAGAAAACGATTCCGCTGTTCCTAGGTCTGAAGCACAGCAGGCTGGCGCTGACCTGCACCAAGCAGTAAGTACAGGCACCTAATTAAAGATATTTTTGGTCCCTCGACAGTGAAGCTGCTCTTGTGACATGAGTTTCACCAGGAGCACAAGCAGTAAAAACAGGCCTCGGGCTACTGTACCGGCCTGTCTGGACAAGGATTGGCAAAAACCTCAACGTCCTTCACCAGAGACGGCTCCTGAAAGGGAAAATTACCTTTCCTTTTCCATCTGCTTTTCTTCCCGTCCTTGTTAGTGCACCCATTGCTGCTGCTGCTGGTGCTGCTGCTGCTGTTCTCGGAGCTCTGCGAGTCGGACTGCGCGTCGCTGCTCTCCTCCGAGCCGTCAGAGAGCTCCTTCAGCCCGTCCGGAACGTCCTTCTGCAAACCAAGCACGCAGGCAGGTTACCCACTGCACGACAAGCTCTCCAATTAACACAACTCTTAAAAGGAGCATTTTGCTTTATTTTCCAAGCACATATTGTTGATTTTTATGCTTGAGAGCTATGTCAGAACTGCTTAGCTGTCGGCCTCTAAAGCACGCCGCCTTTTGCCAGTCCACATAAAACCCATACCCTCCTTGCACACCCCTTTAGTTGTCTTCTCTGTCCTCAATCACCAACTCTAACTCACTTCACCCACAGGATTTGAGGCTGCAGAAAGCACCAGCAGCTGCTCGCCCGGCCACACCTGAGCCCAGGCTGCCCTCTAGTGATCAGCACCATTCAAATTTTAACCTACTTAGGCCTAATTAGTGACAGCACCTTGAAATCTGCTAATAGGGACTTCACTTGTGGCCATTACCCCTTCCCGACTGCCCGAAGCCCCTCGGTGTGCCCTTTGCCAATGGGCCATGCATGCAGCACAGGGCAGCTGCAGACACAGAATTAATGGGCATTAATGTCCTAGAGAAGACATCACCAGAAATAGAGAAAAACCTTTCTATTTACACCAAGTGACACCAAAGCTGGTAAAAATTAAGCTTGCCTACTCCTAATGCTCACACTTCTTTCTGCGAACCTTCTTTATGTCGTAACTTTTGGAAAGATGATTTTAGCAAGCTGGGACATTTACCTATTTTCTCATTTTTTCAAGATGTCTCTTTTAAAGTTTTCCACCTGGTCGTCTAGCTACCACTCCTATGGATGTGTCTGGTAAGGCAGAGTGCTCTGTCTTTATCACATGTGGTAAAAGCTGAACTGGCCAGAATTCTCCAAATATTGCGTTAGAAATATTCCTGCAGACTGGAATCTCCCAGGCTACCGGTGAACAGAAAATCCAGTCCTGGGCCTTTTTGATGCAATGGGGTAATAACCATGGGGGAAGCAATAAATAACAATGCAAGGGGTAGCAACCAGATGCACAGAGGGTTCCTGGGACGATGCCGACCACCGAAAGGCTCCAGCTGCTATCTGAAGGACCATTAAAGCACTCCAATCTTGTGGAGAGTCAACTTGAACTTTTTAAGTAATAATATGGGGAAATGGAGGAAAATGAGGGTTCTGCTTGTTTGCCTTGGTCTGGATTTCCAAGGATGGCAGCTGTTTTTCCCAAGAACTTTGACTTTTAATTAAAAACATGACCTTCAGTTTCTCTATCGACATCAATATGTCAATTGCTCACTTAAAATGTGAATCCTCCCAGGCAAGATTAAACCTTGGTGTACACCTCTACAGCCTGAAACAAAATCAGCCCCTGAAAGCTCATCCTGCACATGCAGCCCTTGCAAACACTGGAAAATATTACAAGGAATTGAAACACCAGAAGTTACTAGAAATTCAGCACTTTTGCTACAAGTATTTAAAGGTGGTGTAACTTGGTTTATTCTTCAGTATTTAAGAGTGCTTGGAGTTGATTTTCCCCAGGGGACCAAGCAGAGTGTTCGGACTGCAGGAGAAGCACCCAGCGTGTCCTTACCAGGGGATGTGCATCTTGGAGCTTTAAGAGGAGCACTGCTGGCCGACCCGTGCCATTCCGTGCCATTTCAGCCCCACGGCATCTCAGCATTTCTAATCAGACTAAATGTGTAGCCACATTTTTGAGAGCTATAAACCATGTCTGATGGGCTCTGTCTTAAAAGGGTTCCTGTTCACCACCGTGAACAGACTCGGCACTCCCAGGCATGGAGTGCTTGGTGTGCTTTGGATCACAGCTGGCTGCTAGAATTACACAATATTTGGGTAAAGGAGGAGATTAGGTATTTGATAACAGAACCAGAAGCAAAGGGACAAAAAAGAGCAACAACAAAATCCTATTAACAAATATTAATGAAAAATTTGGTTTGATTTCTTGCTGCCCTTCGGAATTCTCCTTTGAAGCACCTCCTGGCAGCCACCACCAGAAACAGCAGATCCTTTAAACATCATTTCACAGAACTGACACACTCCTTTGTTATGGTTCTCTAATCGGTTTTACAGATCTTTACAATCAAATATAATAATAAAAAAAACAAAACTGAAGGGAGATCCTGGCAGCCTACCAGTCTCCTTCCTACTTGGATCCATGACACAGTAATCCGGTCCAGGGAGCCAGCGAAAATGCAAGCGCAACTTTGCTTTACTCGCCAGGGCTTTTATCAGAAGCTTTCTCTCTTAAGAAGTGCGATTTACCCGACACCTGGCTCTCCTCTCTGCTGCAATGGCCATCCCTGCTCCTCAAAGCTTTCTAATGGATAAGCCAGCACCTTGCATTGATCATGGATCCCCCGAAGGATTTCTCTTTGAACCCATCGTCTTCACAACTCCTCCTCCTGGCATTACACTGGGACCAAAGAACGGGGACCCCGAGGATGGTGCCATGTGGCTGGCTGTCACCGCGGCTTTCTTGACACTCCACTGACATTACCACCTCTGGGTCACAGAGCCCCAAAGAGGGAAAAACAACAAGACTGCAGTGTCCTTAGACATGCAGGAAACAACAGGGTTCTGGAGTAACTCAACCTGCTGGTCGAGCCTCCTGCCTAACGCAGTTCATTACATTTAATGAACTTATTCCTATGCTGAGTTAAGTAACATTGGAGCTTTGCTGAAGCTTAAAATTAAGAAAAATAACCAGTTTTAACTTACAGTTCTCATGAGGATGACAAATGGAGTCAAACCCACAGCAGCTCTGATGGGTTTTGTTGTTCAAATGCCTGCTCACTTCCAATCCGACTTTGCTTAGATTTAAGCTCCTGGCGCTGGACCTGCCTGTGACTTATCCCATCAAAAACACGCTCGCAATCTTTCAAAAGAGATCTTTTTTTCATATCTAAAACTATTCTGTTCTTTGAAACTTTTCAGCATGGCTTGGCCACATCCTGACACAGAATTCACAGACAATTACTCAACCACTTGTCTTCTACAGTATCACAATCTTTTCCTGAGTCATAGTGTTCTGACAAAACACCTTCTTCCTGCTCTTGACTTAAGGTCGGCATTCCTTATGCCTAAACCAGAAAACTTTACCCGTTTTCATAATGAAACAAATTGTGTGAGACCCAAAAAGACAGCTACCTTCCCTCCACTGTTGGCTGTGTCTCTGACAGTCCTTACCTTAAACGTACATCCTATCAACAAGATGTTTTATACTTCCATTTCAGTGCACTGAAATGAGGCCAGCCTCTGTTTGGCACAACAATGTGCAAAGAAAGAAGTTTGTGGGATGTCTTGCAAAGGAATTTTGGAAGCTCTGAAGACTCTGATGGCACACCGGCACCAGCACACAGCTCCAGGTGACAATCTTTGGTGTCACCTTACATGCAAATACTCACAGAAACGTGCCTTTCTAGTTTACAGGGTGGAGGCAGATGAGGGTGAGAACAGGATTCAACATAGCTAAATTTTTGATGATGATCACAAGGACATCTTTTTCTGGGCGGTTCTTAGTCCATTCCCTTGGTAATTGAACGGGCACTTCTAAAGCATTTCTATTCCATTTTAAATATTTTAGAAGGAGATGAATCTCATCTTAGAAGTTACTTCTGCTGGGGTGAGATGAGGAAAGCAGCTCCAACAGAGAGACATACACTGAGGGGGTCTGTGTTTAGTGGGAGGAACCCTAACTTATCTCACAGTCATCAGTTTCAAATATACAGAGAACTGAGAAACAGTGTCAGCAGGCTTCATTCTAGTAGTTTAATTGGGGAAAAAAGTTTCAAATAAAGATTATTTTTTAAATACCCAATCAGCTAAATCAAGGACTCCTCACTTTTTCCTGTGAAGTAATTTCTGCCTACTGTTAACTGAATAAGGATAAAGGACTTTTGAATTTCTAGATACAATTGAGATTAGTGAAGGTAGCGTTACCTTTATGTGGCTAAAATTGTATTACAAATTTAATTACTCTTTCATTTCTGGGTTAATGATTAATATCAGCAAACTGATAGTTTTATTCACGGTACTGCAAATAAAAGGAGCACTTTGGTTGTATTTTCAGCACACAGGTGTTTGCTGGCAAGCATGAGAGACCATGCTTGCATTTGGAGGGACAGTTTGCACTACAATTCATGCTACTGAGGAACAGTTCCCTCTTCAGGATTATCCTAATACAACATGTCTTAAACAAATAAAAGTCACCTTAGCATTCAAACAAGACTGCCCAGCTGAGGCACTTACCTTCAGAGTGTACACTCCCATCCGCCCCGGGACCTTATAGAAAATGCCCTCTTCCCCTCGGGAGTTTGTATGTAACATAGCATTCAGGCATGCAAGAGGAGAAGTCCCACTGAAAATAAAAACACAGGATTAATTTTTGTATTTCTCTGGTCAGTGCTAATCTTCTGCTGGGAGACGATCATGGTCCCTCACCTGACCACCAAGCATGCAGCAGTAGAAGAGCCCAGATCCAACCTGTATTCCCCAGAATACAAGTTGGAGCTGCCACAAGAAGCAACAGTGAAACCAGTCCAACGAACCCACGCTCCAGCTCCAGAAAATAGGCAAACAACCAAAAAAACCCCCAAGTTCAGGCTCTCCAATAGCTCTTTGCAGAACATCAAGACGGTCACTCATTCTTAGAGCTCTAAATGCTCAAAGCTGCTCAGCTGAAACTCTGAGCAGATCTCTTGCAAGCTACTGACTGCAGAGATATTTAGTTTTCTGGAAAAAAAAATGCAGCGTGGTGAAACGAGGGTTGTGGGATAGAGAATGGAAACCAATTTGGCAATTTTAGCAACTCCCTGAAAAGAGCCGAGATCTTCAATCCCAGCCCCAAGAGCTGGGACAGGAGCTCCATCCTTTTCCCTGTGCTGGTGGGGGTTTCTTTGCTTGTTTTTTAAGCTCTCCCACTGCAGACAGAAGCAGAATCAGTGGGCACAGAAGACAGGTAACTTTTGTTCCCGTTGCTGGGTCAGGCAGATCACACAGACTATTGAAGAGCTGCCACTGCTTGTGCAGCGCGCTGGCATCTTGCACCACCCCTACACGGGAGATGCAAGATTCAGTGCAAAGTTTTCACCTCCCAATACCTTGTCACAAAAGGATCAGACTGGAAACATGAGATTGACTAAAATCCTAAATTTGTGACTGAACGGCCAAAATTCCTGGGTGGGAGCTGCAGCGAGATTGCTACTCATTTGCAGTATGGTTTGCTATAAACATTCAAATGAATCTGCATCCAGAGCAGGGAAATGAGCCCTGGGAGGAAACTGAGGTGGAGGTGAGGCAGAGCCCAGACCTCTGGCGCCTCAGGCAGCTCGTGCTCACTCCAGGTTAGACAAAACAGCAGCACAAAGCTTAGCTCAGTCACTGAAATCTAACATGAGCGGAGGCTGATATCCTGGAACAGATTCCAGGGCTCCTCTGCACAGGGGTATAAACCTGCAGTTGGAGGCACACAGGCAATGCTGCATCAACACCCCCAGGCTGGATGGGGGCACCCCTGGGTTCCCTGTCCCCCCCTGCCCCAGCAGGGTGCCCAGCCCCTTGTCCTGGGCTCGGGGAGCTCTCCCAGGAGCAGCCCCCGGCCCCTCTCGGGGCACCCCTGGGCCCAGCAGTGCTGCCTGAGGGGCAGGGGGAGCCTCTGGGCCTGGCCCTGGGCAGCGCTGAGCAGAGCCCGGCTCCGGCCTCTCCGCACCTCCCTGCGGGTACTGACGGCCATGGGGGAGCTCCCCCGGAGCCTCCTCTGCTCCAGGCCCAGCAGCCCCAGCTCTCGCAGCCTCTCCTCACAGCACGGGGGCTCTGGGCCTGGCAGCACCCCCAGGGCAAGGCCTGGGCTCTCCCTGCTGGGCCCAGCTCTCTCTGTGCTGAGGGGGGCCCAGGGGTGAGATAAAGCAGCTCACAAACCACAGGACAATCACCATCCCCAGAGCACAGCTAATATTTATATTATTAGACCCAATCCCACCTGTATTGACTGCAGGGCTCTGAGAATTCAGCCCCTGATGGGGGAGCACAGCTCCAGCTGGTGGGACATACAGGGAAGGGGCACCGCGTGCTGGTGGCAGGGGTGAGGATTCAGAGCCACGGACACGAGCCGTGCGTTATCAGGTGGTTTGTGGGACCAGATGGCCACCTCCTAACCTAAATTATTCCATATAAAAGGTCCTCCTCTCTGGCTCCCCAGAGCAGTGCCTCAGCACACAGCAGCCCTGCTGCCTGCGTGACACAGCTGTGTGCGAGCCGCGCTTGGCCCAGCTCTACGTGGCAATACAAACACCATTCCCATCCTTCTCCCACCACGGCTCATCAGCTTTCTCCCCGCTGCTGCATCTAGAAAACAACCAGAGTTTCATATTTCTGGATCCCTGATGGCACACTGAATAGCACCGAGCGTGCCGACGTGTGCCTGCACTCAGGAAAGGCCTCAGACGGTGACGAGAGGCCTGCCACGTACCTGACCTTTCCTTCATCTGAGTACATTCTTCTTAAAAACTGGATCAAGGCAGAAAATCAACGCTAAGCCAAGCATTTTACAAAAGTCTAGGCAAAGCTGTGCTCTGGAAGCTCACCAAGGAATGAAGTCTTGGCAGGACCTATCTTTACAAAAGCTATACTTGTCTGGCATCTATACTGCTCCTGCTCGGTTCCATTGTTTAACAGCTTACCCATCACTTCTGCTTTCATTCTTCTCACATTCACCTGTCTACAGGCACTTGCCTTCCTCAAACTCTCTTTAGAGATCTGGCACAAAGCTAACATTATTTGAGCCCTTTCATGCACCTTATTGGGAAAATTTTAAGATCAGTCAACAAATCCCACGTAACTTTCAGAAGTTTGGGTTCAGTTTGGGTGTAAGATACGTGGCCCTCGTGTCATATTGCATCTTCCCTGCTTCTGTGACGAGCCCTTGGGAATCAGCTGATATTACACTGTTATTTTTGTGTCTTGCCTTTTTTTTAAACGAAGGCCATCCCTTCCTTTTGCAGGAACACACACCAGCTCATCAGCCACTTCTGAAGGTTCCCTTGACCTCAAAAACAGTGGTTAGAGAAGCATCTCAATGGGAAGATGCTGCTCCAGAGGTATCACTGTCTGCTGTTTCATGTCAGTCCCTCCCATTGCCCCCATCCTGCTGCACGTATGGAGCCGTAGTCAGTCAGGTACCGCTGCCCGTGAGGTGCTGTTAACGTGCAAGGCATTTCAGAGGTCTCCGAACAGGACTCAACCTTCAGAAGACCTCAACTCTACTACATGACTAGGTCCCCACTGATATGGTCTTTCTCTTCTGGAGAGCAAGCCCCTAACTCAATTTCTGCATCTTCTGACCTGAAGCAGTCTCCAGCTTTTCTCGCTCCCATCGGTCACCTTGGACTCTAACCAAGCTCAAGCCGTGGTTGTAGCATAAAGATCAGGGCTTTGAGGTGCTGTTGCTCAAATGTTCCCTGCTCACAAAGGACTGACATGACTGTTTTGAGGACAGGCTCATTGCGAGCTCTTGTTCTACCTGTTAGCTACAGAAAATTGGCTTGACACAGTGTATTGCCTCATGGACAACATGTGTAGGGTTACCAGGAAAGGAAAAAATAAGGCACATCCATACTGAATACCAAAGTTCCAGTCACACACTGCCCTTCCAACAGCATTCCCCTCCAGCACCTGCTGATGATCAAGGGACACAGAGGCTTGCTTCTCCCCTCCTACCTGCCCTCTTTACCGGGTTTTTAAGTCTCCATGCAAAGAATCTTCCAAAATGAGCTAAGACTAATTTTTACTTTCCTCATGTGTTAAGTTCCTGTATTTCCCCATCCCCACAGACCCCTCTGCGTTCACTTAATAGCAACAGCACCCCAAGGAGCTGGTGGGCAGCCAGCCCAGCCAGCCTTTTGGTAACAAAGGGATGCTGCTGTCAGCTAAATGCAACGGGGAAGTATTTGTCCAGATGCTGCAATCTGATGCAAGTGAACTATTAAAAGCACACAGCCACTCTCACACAAGGCGTTTTGTACACTAGCAGTTTAAGAACACACTCTGAATGTAACATGAGGTCCTGTAACCCCTCTGCTGCTCCAACATATAGGGCATGGCTTTTGGGGGTTTGTTTCTGGAAACGGGAATGTTTATGAACCCAAGTGACAGTCTCTGTTCGTACCATCTGCAGCATCCTTAGCTGGTGCGTGAGATGTGCTGTTTAACAACCAAGTCGGTACAATGCCAAACTCACTTTCATGCCATTGACCTAGGAGGACCTAGAAGGGAGGTGGTTGGTTTTTTTGTGTGTGTTTTTTTATTATTATTTTTTTTTTTTTAAATGAGGTGTTTGGGTTTTTTTAAATGTAAATCCATGCACATGGATTAAGATACTTCACATAGACAGGGCACACTTAGTATTTTACTGAACTAGGAAAACTAAATTGTAGAATTTCCCCCAAGAAGTAGTTACTATATGAGAAGTTACACAGGATGTTTTTATTAAAACATTAAGCAGCCTACATATATGTACTTTTTTTTTTTCTTTTTTACAGCTAAATAAGCAGTTTCAGTATTCGTTCCAGCAGGTTTTTCAGTCCATAAAGATTTTTACATCACAGTGTACTACTCAAGTAGCATGAAAAAAACATAACATTTCACATTAGGCTTCCACATAGCTGAGAGGCTGCACGACAGTGATCCAGCTGGCAGGTTTTGTGGAGAGCAGGTAGAGGATCACGGCTGGGCTCTGCCTACAGCCAGCTCCAGCCTGAGCTGGGGCATGCCTCTGTTGCTCCTGGCACTCAGCAACTGCAGTGGCTGCCTTCAGTCCTTGCTTTACTTCTTAATTCAAGGGAGGGGAAGAGCACGACTTCAGTTCGCCAGTCCCTGCCTCTCTGATCACCCAGCTGCAAAGACAGACTGGCAGCAAATTCATGGTGTCAGAGCAGGGACTGTAAGCCATGCTTACACCTCAGAGCTTTATCATAAAACAGCAACACCAACTTGTTTGCTGCTGGAAGCCTTAAACCACTGTACTTTTCCACATCCTATGTGTTATCCTTCCTTGCAGCATATTTCAGCTTGGGAAAAACTAGGGAGTAACACGTCCACCCAGGCAAAGACACCTTCATGAGAAGCAGGAGACACGGTTTCAGCACACGCATAGGCACTGAAGTACAGCACCAAGAATATTTGCACTTACAGATGCTGCAATAAAGCAAGTACTCACCGATACTTACCTGGTGACCACCCAGCACAGTGAACAGGCTGAGCAAATACATGTTCTTAAACTCTGTATTATTTGTTATTATCTGTGTTATTTGTTATTATCAGGCACAGATCTTTTAGCTATACAGCTACATACAACGCTTATTGTCAGCCCAAGGAGCAGTACTCCATGAGCCTCTCTAGAACCATTTCATTCCTCTGTGCTGGGACAAATATCAGTGCCTGTAAAGTGTCTAGTTCTGTTACCTTGCTCCCAGCCGTTCTCCTCCTATCGCTGTTCTCAGCAGCACTTTCCACTGAAAATCATATTTTAGGAATTATTCTCATCTAATGCTAACTTCCCTGTCAGAAACATAAAATTTAACAGATTTATTGGAACTTACGAATCTATTATACTTATAAAGTGTTCATATTTATAAACTTGTGGCTGCTACATGAACTACAGCTTGTATATTGATGACCAAACAAGGGTTTCTGGTAACTTCTAAATATTTATTGTATTTTGAATATTAACATTTTCCATATGTGCACTTTCATCTCATTAACGAATCAAAATTTCACCTCAATTAATCATCCAGCAGAAGTGACAGGTGCTCTGCCTGCAGAGCAGGCACATGCTCCTCTTACTTGATTGGACTGCTGAAAGGGCTAAAAGAGGTTAATAACAATATTTATAGCTAAAAGGTAGTTTATGAGGCCAATGGCATACGAAATAGACATTCCGAGCTGTCACCCCTCCGAGCATTTCTCTAAGCTACTTCGCTTTTCCAGCGGCCGCGTACATACCAGGTCCTCCTTCTGAGAATTGCCAAACTTAAGCCTTCATTAAATCATGGCATTTTACATTCCACATTACATTCAAAGCTTCTTCAGACTGAGCAGGGAAAAAGGGGGTTGAAAATGGTAAATGCACACAAGGTTAAGACAAGACATCCCTACTGCGAGCAGCTGCCTGTTCAATGGGAGAAGGAGGTGAGAGCGTTTTTCTTTCCCTGCTTCCAATTCCACTACGTAATCCTTTCCAATCAGCCTTACCCCTGCAACCTCGGGAAGCAAGGGGATTTGTTCTGATTTGAAAACAAAATGGGACTGAATCATTTTGTCCAGTCATCTATGGATGGGATACTGGATTGAAACCCTGACAAATTTTCATCCGTGCAGTATTTGACCTCACACTTGCACTCAGAACGTCATGCAAGGTGTATTTATCTGTTAATAGGCTACTTTATATTAAAGCTCCATTTTTCAGGTGTCGTTTACGCTGTTCCTCTGTGTGCACACCCAGCAGCTCCCACCACAGGACCACCTCTGGCTCCAGAGCATCCTGCAGACAGAGGCAGCACCTGCTGCTGTGGCTCGTGCAGGAACACCGCACGGAGTCAGTGCTGTTACACCAGGTCAGCGTGGTAGCACTCAGCAACCCGGACACCACAGAACAGTTAATTATCCTCTGCTGTAAATGGAAGCTTAATATAAAGTGCATCTGACAGGGAGCATCTCCATTTCACATCATCACTGCAAGTGCACGGAACTCGATAAAAGGCCCGGGCTCGGCTGTGTTTAAGGGTGAGGGTTTTCCCCGTTTTGTTCTTTTGAGCATCCCTTCTTCCCCACGTTCCATTTGAATCAGACATTCACACAATTAGCTTTTGGCTTATTAGTAAATTAAAATATGATTTTTAAAAACGAGAGGTTTAGATCTACTGAAGTGTCACAGGAGAGAGAGGTCGTAAGCAGGTACCGCAGTACCGACTTGAAGCGTGTTAACACACATTTATGATTTAGAAAAGCAGTTTTATTCTATGCGTTAGATTGTTTCAGCCCATATACTCTGCCAAATGACCCCGGGACAAAGATGCACAAAAACATCATGCAAATCAAGCACCCCATCCCCACACATTCCGGACAGCGATGTTAATTTATGAGACATTAAGCATTCACATGCTATTAGCCTGGTATTTTCCACAGACTTGCAAGCAGATTAAGATTTCACGTTTGCATTACACTCAAATGCTAATGCAAACTGCATGCAGGAAAGGTAGATTAAGGTAAGAGAAGCATTAACACTAGTTTTACTACTATTTCTTGGTTTCTAAGTCTGTGTGAAACAAGCAGTTGCTCTTTAATTAAGGCTTTTGCAGCTTGCGTTAATACAGAACAGTAGCTTTAGAACAATCAGCAGTGGTTCTTACCTTCTGGAGTTGGAGTGCAACCCAAAAAAAGGAGAGAAACACCCCTTTAAAAACTTTAGCAAAACAATCATCTAACCATTAATACGAACCCTCCTCCCCATCCACCAGAACCAAATTAAGAAAGCTTTGGGCAGATGTGCAGCAATACTACAGCTAGGCTTTATCATACACGTAAGTATGGAAGATGTGCACCCGTCAGGCTTTTTTCAGCTTACTTTCTAAGAAACTGGCATAGATGCACCAACCCCAGGTAACTTCCAACCCCCCCGGTTAGTGAACTCCTAATAGAAGTCACGTTGACCCTTTAGAGGTCCCATATGTGGCCAGGCACCATACAGAAGTTGACAGAAGTTCACTTTTCTTTCCCAAATTAGGCCCAGAGCTGTGGGTACAGCAGCAGCCCTACAACCCAGAGGAGCAAGACAGTCTGTGAGCAACTTATTGGTTGTGCCACATGTACAGCATCAGCTCAGCCATGTTCAGCATTCCCAAGGGTAAATCCATGGGCTGGCCAAGTCATTAATAATGCAAACTAATACAATGCTCGCTCCATTTCAGTATTCCCACTGATGGGGGGTGGGGGAGAGCAGAGGAAAGGAGGGAGGGGCTGGTTTTGGTGGTGTTTTTTTTTTTGTTTTTTTTTTTTTTTGGTGGGGGTAGAATTGGCTACAAGATTTTTCATGTGACAAAGCCAATTATTAAACACCAACACTTGAAGTTCCTGAGAATTTGTGCAAGATCAAAACATGGTGCCCTGAAAACCTGGGTGGTGCCAGTGAGCTGGGATGGAGCTACATTTGTATCCGGATGTAGCAGAGGGCACTGGAGACCCTTGGAACAGGAGCAGCCTGGAGAACACTGCAGTGCTCTTCAGCACACGCTCAAGTTGAATTTCTTTATAAGCTTTAATTACTGGTCTGCTAAGACTGATATGACAACTGGATCTGACCTACAGGAACATTACTAGATTCTGACATCATACACTGAGTCCTGTATGAGGTCAAAAAGCCCTTAGATATTGTTTACATGTGTAAGCAAAAGCTTCAGGTTTACAGCACTTGATTAGCTTCACCTTAGCAGTGTCCATAGGTAAGGTACTTATCTGTGTGCCCCTTGAGAGCCTATGCAGTAATAATTAGCACTTTCTGGTTTTAAAGGACAAATTCATGTACAGAAACCTTCCTCTAAGGCTTTTGGGGCACAGAATTAAGACTTCAAAGTTTCTGGTGTCCACCACTCGTTGTCTCTGCTACAGGGCCGTGGGCTGGTTCAAACTGAAGGTAAATCCTACATCTAGCTGCTTGCTGAGATCTCAGCCCCAGTGTTTTCCAGAAGAGAACGCCAACCTGTTGGATTCCTATAGCACTCATCAGTGGAGTGTTACACCCCACATTTCTCCCTGCAATGGCTGTTACGCTCTCACGTGATAAAAATGAATGTATAATTTTATTTTGAGGAGCCAGCAAAACCTGCTACTATTCTAGTCTCCGGATAAGAGAAGTGGAAGATGTGGTTGGTCAGGGATTTGATACCTTTACGTAAGTGACTGCTATGGAAAGTCACCTAGCTGGACTTTCTCCTAACATAACAAAGGCGTTTCCTGCTAATGGTAACACAATCTTTCTATATAACCATCCTTTAAACCTCTTCCTATTCTTCTTCCTTCATCCTCTTCAACTTCTTTCTATATAGCCATCCTCCTGAATTCCAATCTTATGGTTGGATTTAGATGATCTTTAAGGTCCCTTCTAACTGAAGCCATTCTATGATTCTGCAAGTCTTCAAATTACTCTTTTTCAAACCAACATTTTTCCCTACATGCATTATTTATGTCACCTACCAACTCATCTCTATCCTTCTGCAGATACCGAGGGGTGCAGAGCTGATGACTTCAACATTTAAACACTAATGAGGCCAAGTCCTGTGGGGTTTGCTGGACCCAAGGCACCCCTCAGGATCAACAACTTTTCACTCTGCGGCCTACAAGCCACCGAGGCAGGCTCCAGGTGAAGCACGGGCACTGCCTGCGAAGATTCACAAAACACACCTGAAAGACGTGGTGGCCTGCAGGCTGCCATTCCCACTGCCCTGCAGATGAACAGAAATGAGCTACGGGGGGTTCTAGCACTAAGAAAGCTTTTTATAAGCACCCTCAGGTCACCCTGGGGCTGGTAGAGGCCGAGCACTACTGGGCCTCAGAGGGAACCCCAGTAGCAGAACCTCAAAGGACAGGAGGCATGGAAGGCCACAAGGCCCCTTGCCACACATGCTGCTAGCCCTAGAGAAAAGCTACCTGAAAACACAGCCCAGAACACCCTCCCTCCACCAAACACCACCTGCAGGCCCTCAGACACGATGAATGCTGACGGCCACTTGACCCAGAACAGGCTTTAGCCTGTACTTATACCAGAGGTTTCACGCACAAATTCCACTTCACTAGAAAAGGCATCACAAGTACCTCAAAGAGCGTGATGTTCTGGTGAACTTCAGCTGAAAATGAGCTGAGAGTTGGTTATTTCCTTCAGAAAAAGCCAAATCCAGCTTTCTAACTGACTAAAAAAAAATGCAAGACCTTACTGTCCCAGCAATTATTGCCCTCTGCTCCAGCCCTCCTCTCAAGCACTTACAGCAATTAACAGAAGCACGCTGATGAAGGGGCTTGCAATTAAAGCCAGCCTGCCAGTAAGGCTGGGCTAATGCACCTGCTTCCAAATGCCCATTTCCCATGGGGAAAGGCTCCCACGGGGAAAGGCTCCCACAGTTCAGATGTAGAGAGGTCAGCAATACCTTTATGGACATTTATAATAGTTATCTTCCAGCTGAATGAAAGCAACCTGACCAGAAATAACGGAGAGGTGGAGATGACCCAACCCTGGTGGTTCTCAGGAATGAAGCATGAAAGGCCCTGCCACACACTCAGTATTACTAAAGATTACTAAACCTATACAACTTGAACCCTGATTGTTCCAGCTCATTTGAAGATTAAATTCAAATTTTTAATTATTAAAGATTTTGTAAAGTAATTTAAATGTTTGTCAGCTGACAGCTTCAGCTAGCTACAGGGCCTTCCATGCCAGCCCAAAACTTTCAACTTCGCACACTGAAAGGGAGGAAAAATAAAGGGAGGAAAAGCAAAGCTGCTTTGTACTAACCCAGTACCACCTATTTGCAGTATCATACCTCCGGTCACCCATGAGAAACGGCACTTTTAACTGCACTCTTTCCACAAAGAAGCCCGTAGAGGCCTTGAGGTATTGCAGTGACTCACTTACAAGAGGCACTGAGGCCAAAAGGCCACCTCTCCCCCGGAGCTCGAGGCTGGGAACCAGGAACTGGAGCAATTCAGACTGGGAGGAACCTCTGGAGGTCACAGGCCCAACCTCCAGCTCAAAGCAGGAGCACTCCAAGTGTCTCAGGGCTTTGTCCAGCCCAGCTCTGAACACCTCCCGTACAGGGAGAAGCCTTCCCTGCCTGCTCTAGTGGTTTACCACCCCATAGTGAAGATTTTTTCCTATCTAGTCCGAGTCTCCCACCCTGTGGTTTGTGCTCATCGCCTCTGTCTAGCACTGGGCTCCTCCACATGTGAGCTATCAGCAGAAATGAACACACCAGACTGCAAACCACCAGATTCTGAGAAGCAGCTTTGGATAAAATAGCTTTGAGATGTGCTGCGGCGTAAGCAGAGCGAGCTCCAGAAGCTTCCTGGTGTGGTTACCAACAGCAAGTGGTTTCAAAGACTTCAGAGCAGTCTACAGAGAAAAGTTTGGGTTTTTTTGCAAGCTTTATATTACCTGGCCCTCACATTGAGAGATGCTGCAGCAATCACCAGGCAAATTTAGATCTAAATCTGATTTTATGGAGTTGTGTAAAGCTTTATTTGGATAAATTACTACAGCAAACAAACCAAGTGTGCCACATCTGATGCCTGCTGCACCCCGTGAGCAGGTCCGGAAGGCCCTCCCAGGCACACACCATTCCCACCTCATTTACCCCATTCCAGCCAAGCCCCTGACGGACCAGAGGCAGGAAAGTACACTTTAAATAAGCTTCCTGGCTTCAGCACGTCGCTTTCCAGTTTTCCAGCTTCCTGCTGCCACAAGGAACTGAGGCAAGAAACAGGAGCAGAAGATGCAAACCTCCTGGTCCTTGCTTCCCCTCTCAGGTACTGCCTCCCGGGTACTTCTCAGCCCTCTGATCAGATCAGAGGACAAAAAACAAAACTAGATATGAGTTCACCAACATATCAAATGGTCCTGGAGCCATTTTAAGAACAACAATTTTAGGAGCACCACAGCAAAGGCTGCTCTGACCTGTGCAGATTTCCTCTGTCAGAAGCTGAGCTCTCCGTAACAGCTCATCAGTACAAATAGCTCTTCAAAATATCAACAGCTTTAAGCTGTCAGGTGTGCAGACCTTCATTAAAAAGAGGTAGCAAGCAGACAGCATAGCGATTTCTTTCCTTGGTGTTTTGACTATGGACATGTACGTCCAGTGAGGCACCGGACATCAAGGATGAAGACACTCATCCCAAAATCTCTTCTGCACATGCCTATAACCAAAAGCTACTTCCCACCTCTCGAGAGAACTTAATTACTTGGTTATATCATGCATTATGCAGGCCACACTCCGTGCTTAGGGCTGTGAATATAACTTACTGCTTAACTTGAAATAACAACTGGATTTCTCTCTGGGCATGCTTCCTCCAAGAAATCACCACATGGACTATCAGAAGTTCTACCAAGATAATCCTGCACAAGCCAGGCATGTCTAAAAGGTGGGCGATTACATATAAATGTTTCTCAACTACAGTTCTGACAAGAACCAGACTGAGCTGATGGAAACACTTCATTTCTTGAAAGCAAGAAGTGTCCAAAGCCATTCCGGAGTGTTTTGCAGGATTCCGCCTACACTGACCACCCTCTGCACTTGTGACAACGCTGGAGGAGTTCAGAACCTACAGAGGAAAGGAGTTGTAAGATCTGCTTTTTGGGAGGTGAAATGATCAACGTAATCATGTCCAAGACTTACACCCTCGCAGTGGCTGTGCAGAGCAGCCCAGCTCTGTGCAGCTCCCTCTCCAGAAGGGCCAGGCACCAGCTCGAACAAGAGGCCGTCACTGCTATCTGCCAGACACAGGATGCACGTCTCTTCCGTTGTTGGATAGTTTCGGTTTTACTTTTTTTAAATAATTTTTTTTTCCCCAATACATTTTCTCCATAGGAGACTTTCTGCCTAGACTTCTACTCTAGGCTCACAACCACTTTAAGGAGCAGCTTTCACAAAGAGGTAAATCCAGCATTTTGGACAGAGGCAGCTTTTACAGAGATCCCTTTCCCTGTCGAGATAATTTGTCCTCACACCCAGCGTCAGTGGGATCCAACAGGAACTTCATCCTTTCCAAAATTTAAAAGCCTTTAAAACCCCTGCATCCTTCAGAATCCCCCTCCCAGGGGGGTGTATTTGTCTGTGTACCTGGGTTCAATTCTCGGAGAAGGGTGATGCTGGAGGAAGACTCTACTAGAACCAAGCCCCAATAGAGCTCAGCTCCCCCAGCCCTGGTTTATCTCCTAGCTCTGCAGCAGAAGATAAGGACATCAACAAAGCACTGGAGAACAGCTGTGAAGTATTTTAGTGGCAAAGTGTTCTGCCAAGAAGGAGGAGAGTCACTTCACTGCTCCTTAGCTGACGAGACTGAGACAAGAATATTCTGCAGCAAACAGCTTCCCTCCTCCTGCCACCAGCACGTTTCTGAGACCAGTCAATGAGGGAGCTGATCACCCAAGTTCATCCTCTTCAGTTCTCTTGCAAGAGAGTGAGCAAGTAGAGGATCCTTCCCTGGTCAGGGGGATGCTCACTTTGTAGTGCACAGGCTACTGCAGAAATAACACAAGCCTGACACCTCTCTTGAGCTACCCAGAAGCTAAAAGCCCATGTTTGCCTTGGATGAGGGTAATCAATATTGTCTTCCTCACTGGTTAGGAAGAAACACTGCTCACATTACCAGCCCACAGAGCACAGACTAACCACAGAAGTACAGCAGGCTTCTGATTTGCAGATAGCAAAATAGGAGAGAAATAAGGGAAACCAGTTAAGAACCCTTATGGAAGTCTGAAGCTACAGAGCTGGCAGCTCACTCAGAGCCCTGCTTGCAGTTTCCACCTCCTCAGGATGGAAGTCGCCTCCCCAGGGATGCCCCGAGCTGGATGTGCAGAGCATCTTGCAGGGGATTTGGAAGGAGCCGTGTCAATGAGAGGCACACACTGAGCACCACCAGGAGGGCAGGAGAAACTTGAAAGCACTCCAGTTACAGCACATGTATCTCTAGTCCAAGCAGGACCAGTGAAAAGGGGAATTTGGCTTCTATGCTTTTTTCCAAAATTGATTCAGGAGTTTGTTTGGGTTTCTTCATGTAACAAACTCAGAAGAATATTCAAAAGCAGCAGCCAGAGTACCAGAGCCCCATGCTTTTAATTTCACTGAGATTAGATGTGCTTCCCTGTTCAAACACCAACTCATTCGCATTTAGGCAAAGCATGGACTGAGGCTCACACTGGTATTTTTTTTTTACACAGCCTCCTCTGTAAACTCCCAAAAAACAGAACATTCACAATTATTAAGAGAAAAAGTCTAAGGAAGATAGCCTCCAAAGATGCCAAGTCTTTGGGCACTCACACTAACAGACCCAAGGAGAACTCAGAGACAAGCTAACAATTTTTTAAACAACAGCTACTTATCTTCAAACAAACATGATTCTGTCGCTGCCTCTTGCTGCCCTCCTATCCTACGCACTCAGATTTAGGGAACTTATACAGCTGGTGTTGCTGGGTCAGCACCACAATCCCGTGCATCTTCAAAGCCTTGTTTGAAAGCACGTCCCAGCAAGCTTAGACTCGTCCAAGCTACGTTGCCAGCACAGAGATAAGGCAACATAGGATACTGGAAACCAAAGCCAGATGTGGTTACACTGCCAATTCATCGAGTATTTTTTTTCATGAGTTCTATTTTTGCAGTTTACAAGCAATGACCTGTAGGAAAGGACCTCAAACAATTAAGACAGCCTGCCAAAATAGGCAAATAAAGAAAATCAGGATAACAGATCACACAAGAAAGATAGGTCTGGCTTCAGGATGCCTAAGGTCTCCAAAAGAGACACGTCAGAGTACTGGTCCTGGGCTGGCCTTTAAAATCACGATTTAAATTGCTTACTCAAATAGTGTGATAAAATTACAAACACAGGCAAGATCAGCAGCCAGTATCACTCAAGGTATCTGTGTTGATCCAGAAAAACATCTTATAAAATACCTAGCCTCTTCCCAAAAAAAACCAGCCTTGTCCTGCAATAAGAGAAGTCACTCTTCCCAGTTTCTCCACTCTCAATTCAACTCCCACCTTTTGTCCCTACAATTCCAAATCCCCTACAAGAGGGCCAGCACTTCGAGTCCTCTGAACTTTGCCAACCTGCCCTCAAGCTTCCTACCAAGCAGCAGCACAACAGGAATACTGCTGGGCACTAGTGGGCTCCCCATTCTCTGCCTCATTTCAGAAAACCCACAGGAAAGTAACTTGTCTCTTCTAAAACTAATTTCCTATCTGGAATTTGAGATTAAAAGACAGATGTATCTACAGATAAAAGAAATAGATGGTGAAATAAAAAAGCATCACAGTCAAAACTGAGATGGTTTAAGAGGTTCTGGTGTGCACAGTTTGCTAAAAAAAATTGTTTTTCTTTAAATTAAAAGCAAATGGCACCGAGAAAGTTTAAAAATTGAATGCCTTGGTACACACGAACAGGAGAGCTTATGTCCTGCCTGCAAACTCATGCACCATTTCCACCAACCTGGGAGTCTCGCAGCTGCTTGCTATCTCAAGACAACAGCACAGGGAAATTGCTGTAATCTGCTCTTGAAGGCTTCGCCATGGTTTCCTGCCAGAACTTCCACATGAAAGACTGAAGATCTGGTGAGCTACACACGCTCATCTGACAATTTTTACATCTTATCTAACATGCCTTTTCCTTTAAAAAATGCTGATTTGTGCTAAGTCTGTCTGTCACAGGCTTTGACTTATCAGCAGCTCAATGCAGCCACCAATGGACAAACATCACTGTTAGGAACTGAAGCTGAATTGCTTAAAAACTGGTAAGTCTTAACCTAAACGAAGCTTTACTATATCACTCAAATATTTAAGAGGAAAGATCACTGCATGACATCCAAACATGGATGGATCAGAAGATGTGTAGCTGAACTGGAGAAATCAAGTTTGGGATCTGACAGCTCCCACCAACACCTTTTGTTATTTGAGGTACTGTGGAGTTTGCAGTCTCCTGATGCTCAGCAGCAGCTTTTAGAAAGGGAAAGAACTTGTTTGATATTGAAGCTGTCCTAAGGCTGGCGAGCCTCTGATACCACCAGATGTGGTACTGCCCCATGATGATGTGCACTGTCAGGATGGGAATTACACCCTGCTTTTGTCACATCCTTTAGAGCTAAATAAGGACAATTGGGATTCCTCACTTTAAAATAAGCTGACAAATTTCCAGAGGGGACAATACCATTATGTTGTCCATAACTTGCGTGGAAGATCTTGTTATCTACACTTGGGCCCTTCTGTACTTCCTGAAAAGCATCTGTATTGCTGTATTAAGCTGGCAAAGGGGAATGGGGAAGATAATTAAGTCTAATTCAGGTTGGTTGTGTCATTCTGAAATAGATGAGCTGGCATCCAATCCTCTTTTCTTTTTTTTTTTTTTCCCTTCTCAGAAAATAAATATTTTCTGCTTCATAGTAGCTCTGTGTATCAACAACTAAACCTGTCCGGCTCAGGGAGATGTCTATGAGCAAGGACTCACAAGTTAAGCTCTGGTAACAGCAGTTCCAGATTTGTCACCTGAATTACTTTTACAGCAGGTCAGATCAGGAACACCTGAGTTGTGTACTGGGAAAAAGGGGCACTCAAATGCACAATGCACTCCTTGTGCAGGACAGTAAGATCACTAAAACAGAAAAGCACGATCCTGCAGATGAATACTAAAAATAGCCGAAGACAGTTTTCAAATAAATTGTAACTGAAGCTGCCTTTTTTTTTTTCCCTTCCTAAATAGTTTTAAGTCTTGTTTTGGGTCATTTCCATTAAACTATCTATTCACTTGTTTGCTTTGTTTTTTTTTTAAAGATTAAATAAAAAGTAGTTAAAATTACCTATATAACTGGAATTTGAACCTGATCAGACCCTGTTCATGTCATACACAAGCTGCAGACCAGAGGCGTGCAGCATGTATTTGGAAATGAATGACCATTATCTAGCTTCCTCAGTGAGAAGTATCAGTGACTTTGGGGATTTTTTTTTTTTTGGCACCTGGGATCTGGACACCAATTCTAAAGACATTTCACGTTTTAGTCCCAAAGATACACGAGTTAGGGATTAACAGTAAACTAAGTTGGAATCAAAGCGTTATCCTGTTTTACTGCTATGGATGCTTAACTTACCTGATTTCTTTAAGTCCTTCTTTCTGGATAACTTGAAGAATCTCTTTATGGCTCATAGGTGTATTAGGATACTTCTCCAGGACCTGGCAAAGTAAATTGAAAGTACATCACTCATTTGCATTTTTGTTGTTAGAGTTCTATTGCCCAGAAAGCTGCATTTAATGATCTAAACATCTCCTAGGATACAACCAAAGAACCACTGACACTCCTGACTATCTCACAGCTCATAACCAGCCCTCTCATCTGAAAAGCAGAGAGCAAAGAGACTCTAGGAGACCTGCGTTAGTGCAATTCCCAAATTTTATTTGAAATGCACAGCCCCTAGATAACACTTCCTAAAGAGAAGGAAAGCCATGCTTTACAGTAACAGAGGAGCTTTATCACCACCCCCTTCATCTGGGAGTTCTTCAGCAACCACTGAAGTACTGCAGATACAGAACTTGCTGAAAAAAACAGATCCTTAAAGCTTGCAAATTTCTGAGGTACCAAAATAAAGCCAGACACAGCTGAGGCAGTGGATAGCTACTGCATACAGCCACCCACCCCAGCACTGCTTTAATCAACCATCATGCTCTGAACCGGCACAGCTCCTGCTCACGGCCGTACAGATTTATCAGACGCACCAAGGACAAAATCTGCTCTTTAAAATATAATTGCAAAATATCAATTGCAGCTTAAGTCCCCAACAAGAGTCAGATTCTTAATGAGTTTTTTTCACTTTGGGCATTTTTTTCAGTGGCAATCTCTCATCTTAGCATGAATGAAGGCACAAATGGGGCATCTGCAGAACTTCCACCAGTTAAGTCCGTGTAAGACAGGAGGAGCCTGCACTACATCAGTTAACATCAAAAAAAAATAGATCAAGTTAAGGCAGCTTTAATACTATTGACTGGTTGATTTTAAGAAGTTTAAGGAAATTTGATGTCTAATACTGTTAGGGTTCTTCACAGACAATTCACATTTAAATTTCAGAAGTTCTATTTAACTGGAAGTTCTATTTATTTTATTGGGCTAAGAAAATATCTCCTGCATTAAAACTGTTGAGCATGCCCATCCCCTCCTTCCCCAGCCCTGATTAAGCACACCCGAGTGCCTCTGTCTCTCATTCCACTTTCAAGAGGAGCAAGAGGCAAGTGTAATTCACACCAGGAGACAGACAGATGCTTAAGACTGCCAAAGAAAGATACCTTACTTCCACTTTAACTTGCATTCATGCTTAGTGAAATGTTATGATTGACCAGAAAATTACATAAAAAACAAAAAGGAAAAAACTTTTCCCAATTATAACCTCGTATGTCCACGGAAAGCTCAGAATACAACAGCTCTGCTGGACGGGCCCTTCCAAGATCATCGAGTCCAGCTGCTGACCACCTCAGTGCCTCTACATACTTACTGCAGGTAGCTTGGCCCACATGTCTTCCCTCCACAGGGCTTTTGGCTTTTTGTTGTTGAGCTCAGCAGGGTGATCAGCCTGGAGCCTGCCTAGTGAACCACGATGTCCTCAAAGCACCACCTGTGCTTTGAGAAGCTGCTGGTCATCAATCCAGCTGTCAGGAGGGGTCCTGTAGGATCCCACACACCAGTTCCCTGCACAAGCCAGGGCCAGGCATTTTTATCCTTCTCCTCACTTCCTTCAGTCCCCATAGGATCCTAAAGCCTCCCTGCAGGTACTGACGGCCATGGGGGAGCCCAGGAGAGCCAGGAGCACAGCAGCAGAACCAATACACGGCAGTGAGGGTCACACACTGCTGATTTCGTGCAGTTCAATATCTCCGCGTGGGTAACTGCACAACTCCAGCACAAGGTTTCATTGACTTAAATCATCTGGGATTCTGCTCAGAGATTCCATAAAAGTCTTATCTGGCATTATACTCGAAAGACAGTTTGATCTGCCAGCTCACAGTGCAAATTCCAGTGGAAAATGACTCGGGAGGACACACGAGAGCATTCTTCATCTGAGGACACGCCGCAGGTGGCTGAGTACGCAGCCGGGGCACCGGGCTGGAGCCACTGGTGGGGTACTGCAAAAACCAATCAGTACAATAGGGCCTGTGCCCAAACCCACCAGAAGACTGCATTAAGCCCCAGTTAAGCATTAATGTTGAGTTCAAAATAATGCCAGCCTCACCACACCTACGCAGGACCACACAAGGAGCCTTGAAGCCAGGCCACTCATTGACCCCATGCAGGATGCTCAACAGAAGGATGAGAATCTTCACTCTGCGTCTCTCCCCTCCCCACATACACCGGTGAAGACATTAAATCCCATGACATTGAGCTAGCTTGCTAGTTGCTTTAAGTCCCAAGATGCCTTTTTAGTTGCTAAAAAAAATAAACCACAAAAGCTAGGCCTCCTCTGCTGAGAAAAAGCCTTCAGAAACTGGGATGTTTCTGGGCAACCATGTCTAAGGAGAAAAAGAAGAATTCAATACATTAAGAAAGGAGGAGACACCAAAAAATTATTATGGTGCTGCTGCAGAGAAAGGAACCGCTCTCCAGAGGCTGTTGCGAGCACTGACCAACGCGTGCCAAAGAGGGGCAAACACACAGAGGGCAATGCCAAGTCAACGCTTCCAGGAGCTTCACTCAGAAGCAGCTGGGAGAATACTTTGGGGAAAAATTTTGGGGAAAAAAATATCACAATTGCCTTTTTTTTGTTGTTTAAGAACGTTATAAGGCCTTTTTTTTTTTTAATGCCAAGCCAGTCTTGAACGACTTCTTTCTGCGGGCAGTTCCTATAGGAGTTGGGGTCCCATGGACCAACTTCACAGCAAGAATCAGAAGATCTCCGACTTTCACTTAAGCCACGTGGAAACACGGGGAAAGATAAGTGGAGACACAGGGAGGATGAAGACAAGGACGCAGAAGCAAGTCATAGGAGAGAAGCACTCAAAAAGCTTTGCACTCTCATTTTGCCTCTGCTATGACAACATAAAGCAAGTTCCAGTCAGAAGAGAAGCACAAAGTGGAAGTTTGAGGGATTTTAGCCTCTCTCAGCAGTTACCTGTAGCCAACACACAAGGCACAACGCAGGAGGAGGCTCCTCAGAAGCACTGCTCCTGCGCCACAGAACCAGCACTGAAAGCCCTTCCAGCATCTGAAGTTCACAAAGGCATCGTCTAACAGGGGGAAGAAAATGCTGCCCTATTGCAAAAGGAACACAATTCATTGTCCAAAGGCTTTTGGATCACTGAAAACACTTTATCCGTGAATACTACACAATTAGGTACGGTTTAAAGAGAACAAAGTCCTAGGAAGGGTCCAGCTTTGGGAAACACGCCCAATGCCTAAGCTCGGTCTAGACGAGCTCATCTGGAAAAACCACGTTCCAGCCCAGCAGCAGAGGGTTTACAGGACAATCCAGAGCTTGTTTACAGTGCTCAGATGTTCCCCAGCAGCCTCCGAGCACACAGCTCTGAGCTCTGCCCAGCCCAAGGACACGGCAGGAGCGAGCAGCTCCGGGAGGCTCCCCAGGGCATGCAGCTTTAGGCAGCGCACCCACCTCCACGGGTACCCCAAAGGTGAGGAAGGAGCACTCAAATCCCCACGTTTTGCTCCATGAAGCCATCTTGTGCTCTTTTAAGAGACGTGTTTAAGTCTCTGCTTGATAAGCAGAGCAGTGCACACCTCCATGTGCTGCTCTACAGGCTGAGCCAGAAGAACCAGGTACGAGGATATTAAAGAGGCTTCAGAAGGTAGAAGCACCTCATGTAGCTTCTCCTCTCCTCTGCCCATTTAATGCCATGTTAGATCTTTTACTCAAGGCCTTTTTTTTTTTTTAATTACCATGTGCAATAAAAAATATAGCCGCTGTTATCTGCCACAGAACCGAGGCAGTGGCATTTTGAAACTAAGAGTCAGGATTTATAGGAGGGTTTACAAGCTCCTTTCCTACTATGCTCAGCATCAGCTGAGCCAGTCTGAAGCACAAACCAGCAGACACCAACAACGAGGTATCAGGAAGCCACCTCACTGTGAGAACCCAGCTATTAATACTGGAAACAGTGTGCAGCACAGGTGAAGCTGTACACCTGAGTGTCGTCGATGCTCAAATGATGCTGCCTCAGGTGCCAAAATGCTCATTGTTAGCAAAAGCTGTTAAAAAAAGTTCTTTATTGCAGCATATTCTGCTTTGTACCATGAAGCTGTCCTGGTTTCTGCAGAGTTTTCAAAGCAAACAGGACCATCAAAAGCCATTCCTTAATTTTACACCTTGGAAGAAAGGCAACTTTCTTCCTCCTCGAGTAGCTTTGTGAAAAATAATGCCTTCTTGCTACCTGCAATTAAATTCAAAGGAGCAAATTTCAGAGGGTAAGCAGCTATACCAGGCAGACCTGGAAAAGAGAGACGCCCCTAAAGCACCAGCCTGTCACACAAAACCTCCCACAGAAACACCCCCAGCGTCTCTGCTCGTCAGAGCAGCTCTCTGTCCCCAAGCTCCCCAGATTTACGAGCGCTGGCAGGATGACTCCACCTCACCCCAAGCCCTTTCCTCGGCTAAGGGAAGCAAACCTGCAGGCTGCTGGGGGTACCCGAGGTAGGACAGGCAGTGGGATCCCTGCCATCGCAGCACCCCGTGAAATGGGGTGAAACGGGGCTGGCTCAGCAGCGAGAAGAACACGGAAGCACCTCGGCAGGAGATGCTCTGAGAGACGCTATAAAAGGAAAGCAAATTTGTCGCTGTAAATTACTTCAGCACTTCTCTTATTGCAGCTCTGCTCAGCTCAGGCTCAAAGTCCACGCTGTTCTCCTCCCATGCCGAGCTCTTGCTGTCCGACCCGGAGCAATGCTCCTGCACCAGCCCGTGGCTGTTCCCAGCTCTGAGGGCAAACTGGGAAGCTGTTTGCCCCCAACAAGGGCTTGCCGTAGCTACTTAGCCTCTGGAGCTCCCAGGAAAGCATCTGCAGCCTGAATCTGATGGTCCCGAGGACCACGGGGCTGGCAGAAGCGGGTCCCAGCAGCAAGGAGCAGCGAGCAGGATGGAGCTGGAAGCACCAGGGATGCACCGGGCTCTGGACAGCACCCTCAGGAAGATCTCACAGCAGGAGCTGGCAGGCAGCAGGGTGATGATCAGCAGGCAGGG